GATGGATGGATGGATGGATGGATAGATAGATAGATAGATAGATAGATAGATAGATAGATAGATAGATTGATGGATGGACGGACGGACAGATAGATAGATAGATAGATAGATAGATAGATAGATAGATAGATGGATGGACGGATGGATGGATAAATAGATGGATGGATGGTTGGATGGTTGGATAGATAGATTGGATGGATGGATGGATAGATAGATGGATGGAGGAATGGATGGATGGATGGATAGATGGATGGATGGATGGATGATAGATAGATAGATAGATAGATAGATAGATAGATAGATAGATAGATAGATGATAGATTAGATGGATGGACGGATGGATAGATTAGATGGATGGATGGATAGATAGATAGATAGATAGATAGATTGGATGGATGGATGGATGGATAGATAGATGGATGTGTGTCTGAGAAGATCACAGCAGAACTGTGTGTTTGAGACGATTGATATGTATCTATAAGCTGATCTTTGTTTTTTTCTTGTGACCGTTTTCAGCTACTCTTTCCACTTCTTTACATTTTTGAGGGGGTGCTTTTAACTTATTTTTACACTTTTATAACCACTTTTGTCAAATACATACCTTTTTTTTTTGCAAACCTTTTTGTTATTCGTGCTAACACTTCCTGTTTGTCATGGTCCAGAGCAGTAAGAGAGGAGCACGGGCGGGTCTTTGTCTCTGATTGGCTGTGCTCCTGTTCACAGATGTGTGTTGAGCTTCATAAGTAAAAAGAAAATAAATGAGACAAAATGAGGAGAAGAGGGTTTTTTCACATTACTTAATCTATTACATTTACTGAGTACATGTTTCTTTGGCTTTTGCAGATATGGAGACATGGTACCCAAGACGATTGCTGGAAAGATCTTCGGCTCCATCTGTTCTCTAAGTGGCGTTCTGGTAATTGCTCTGCCCGTCCCCGTCATCGTGTCCAACTTCAGTCGTATCTATCATCAGAATCAGAGAGCAGACAAGCGACGGGCGCAGAAAATGCAGGTGAATACCATTTCATTTTCTCTTTCACCCAGAAGGTCTGACCTGCAGACATCGCGGCCTGAGACAGGCACGGTGTGAGAGAGACCAGTCTGGCCACTGTCATCAGCAACCGATGGAAACAATGCTCAGAGCTCACTCTTATTGACCATCAGCTGATTATGCTGTAGAATCATCCACTCTATGCAGACTTGATGTGGTAGTTAACGAAGTTTTTCATTTAATGCAATTTTTTTTACTCGATAAATTGATAATTCCCCATTGACTTGACCTTAGATGTGACTCGTTTCAGATCAGTCTTCCATACATGGACATGGATTAAATTCAAACTTTTGTATGAAGACAAAGCTGTCATTATAAAATAAGAAAAATAATATAGAGGTCCCTTTACAGTGTGTGTTAAGCTCAGTGTTAACGACATATATTGAAGACAGGCACAGGTAAGCTAAAAAAAATAAAAAAATAAAAATCATATTCCCAAATTATCTTGATCTGATTCTAAAGCAGGGGTGTCAAACATACGGCCTGTGGGCCAAATCCGGCCAGTTAGGGGGGTTCAATCCATATAGGAGAACACTTCATGTTCACATGTTTTGTAAAATCTCATTAAATATGAATGATATACTTTTACTTATATACTGAAAACAAACGGGGGAAAAAACATGTTTTTTTTATAGGTAATTATGTTATGATTGTAACGGTCTGGCCCACTTGACACCTAAATAAAAAAAATAAATCTATATAAATCTAAATAAATATATCAATCAAAATACCTGTGACCTGTGAAACGCATTGTGACCAGGGATATCCGATAATATCGGCTGAGGGATGTTAGCATACTTATGTAATATCTGTAAGAATTGTTATTGCGTTTTTCCCTCTGACCCTTCATAACGCAGGAACAGAACATTATCAATGATTAACACGCCTCCAGTCACTAGATGGCAGTATTGCAGCTCAGTTTTGATAATCAGTGGATTGCATGCAGAATGCTAGTGCCAGCAACTCATACAGTGGTTTGTACAGATAAATAAATAAATATTACCAGGCGGTCAATAGTATTTCAAATTGGTTGCTATATCGTTTGATATCGGTTGATATCGAAATTGGTCATTTGTTTTGCGAATCAGCGGCATTTGTTTTACCCTCCGTCTTCTCAGTCCGGACCCTCTTTTCCTATACCTTCTTCTGTTTCTGCTGAGCCGCAGCGTTCTTCCCTGTTGCTGTATAATACTAGATCAGGGGAAGGGAACGTCTCCTCCAGAAGCTTGGGGCTTTCTTATACAATATCTGCAATTGCAGTGTTTTCTGCTGAGTTCTGCATTGTCCCCCGTCACCGTAGTACTAGACCAGCAAAAGGAGCGTCTCTGAAAACGTGGCGCCAGTCCAGCGTAGCGGGACGCTGCTGTCGTCATTAACCGGCATTAAGTGTTTTTCCTGAGGAAAGAATTTTTTTTTAAAATATCCCTCTGCTTTGTCTGCAGTGAGATCAGCTGTTCCTAAAAACCCATGAAGTCTTCTACAGGGTGGGAACCTTCTCCAGTCTCAGGCCGATGTTGAACATGTGCTAAATAACTCAGAACTTAAGTGTCTCTTAGCAGCAGTGGCAGCTGGTGAGAAATATTCTAAGTGGGGCTGTACCGTATTAGGCCAGTTTTAGTAACTATCCCGATACAATTACAAACTAACAGCAGGAGACCGGTGCGCTGTGACGGAGCAATTATTCAATGCCAGTATTAACAGGGCGAGGCGTTCTTACACAAAAACATAAACAGTATATTGCATAAACACACCTTTTGAATTTGAAACCATGCTGTTGGCTGTTACACCACTGAGCCCTTGTGGCTGAGGTGCACGGCTAAGCACGATGAAATGACATGGTGCGTTAGTGCTGCAGATATCCGCTCCGTCACGAGCGACTCAGCTTGGAGCGGCAAATAATTGCCCCGGAGCCATCAGATACGAGGACGCTAAATTCTTGCTAGGCTACGCGCATCTCTCATGTCAGCAACAGGTCAGCAATTGGCTAAACTTCTGCTACCACTGCTCTGACTGGGCGCTGTTCCTAGCACCCCAGAAGCTCCAAAGACATGCAGACAATATATATTATATACTGTATATGACATATGATATATATATACATATATATATATATATATATATATATATATATA